AGGCGCGGCCATTATACGCCCCAAAGGTCTTTGTGTGGAAACCCAGTGAGGACAGAACCATCTCTTCAGTCAGAGTCCCATCGTCAGGGACCCTGCTCCACTTGACTTTAATACCAACGCCAGCAAATGGAATCGCCGAGTCGCCATTGAGCCGGCAGGGCAGAGTGATGTTCGGACACGGTGGTGGTTAAAACTGGCGGAAAAGAAGAGAAAATGATCTGCTGTGACTTTGGTTATATTAAGTAGGATGACTAAATTATTGTCATGTAATGAGATCCCAGCAAGATGGAAATTGGTGATTTGGAGTACAGAGGGAGGATATTTGTGGTCTCAACTTTCTTATTCAATCAACGTTTAAATGATGTCCATACAGTTAGCTTAGTGTCAGTATATAGGTGTACTGATATGAATATTAACACCAATCAACACCATCACAAGTAGAGCAAAGGCACACGCAAAGACACACACAAAGCTGTTTCTCTGCTGCATAACAACATATTAAAGCAGCCTAGATGCTGCATAGATTATTAGATGCTGCAGTTGGACGCCCACTGTCTTCAGAGCCTGAAGCCAAAAATTTGCATCTGTCTCCTAGTGAACTTTTCCTGCTATCATCACTACTTTGCATGTATCAGCTTTTGGTTGTTTTGCTATATTTCACGATAAGACAATATTGCACACCCATGTGTTATGTGCTTATCTAATATTTATAGCACACAGTTCCATATCTGGAACATTTGTAACTGAATGTTTAGATTATGTATTATGTATTATGTTTAGATGTATACATTCGTCTTCATGCTAAAGAAACCAACACTCTGATTTTCTTTTGGGTGATGAATCATTGCGGTCTTTCCGTCCCAAAAACGGTGAACGTGTTTTTTTTTTCCATCTGCCTGAAGCGTCTCGCACTGACTTCCTCCACTCCGCCAGCGCCACAACTGGAAATAATTTTTGCAAACCTTTCCCACATGGATGCAACCCCCACCTTGTCAACTTAACATGGCTTTGCATGTCCTCGCTCTTCCCATCCCCACCCAGATGGCCCCTAATCAACCCCCATGCCAAGTCTACCCTCAAGCTTCCGCTCCAAGTACACGACAGACATGGGACTGGATTTTGTACCGCTCTTCTGCAGTTAGATGTTATTATTTAGTACTGCTGACAAAGCTAATCTATGTACCTTTACTTTTTCCACCGCACTGCTAAGTTTACCATTACTTCCTTTACTTACTACATTACAAGTGTTGAAAATCCTAACACAGCCTGTCCTTTATTCAGAAGGACACGCTCAGAATTTGTTTCTTCCCAAAACCATTAAAATCATCATCATCAGAGCTTTGGTCATTTTACGTTGCCACTTAAATTTAGTGTTTGGGTAGCAGTCAAATAAATTGTGATTGGAACCTGAAGGATCCAGAATGACTCAACTGCTCATCAAAACCCTGGGCACCTAGAGCTGATGTCGTCACTGACAGGTTACCAGATGCTACCATGTCCATAATTTATGGCTTGATGTTTCCTTATTCAGACACCTACAAGGGAATAACGGGACCCTTTGTCCAGGGAGGTATGCAGCATTGTTTTGGTTGCAGGCAAGACTAGCCGCTGGATGAAATTTGAAATTGTCAAGTAAGTGTTAAAAAGCAGAAATGGGAGCATAACGTGACGATGAGAAACAGGATACATAGGAACACAGCAACCTACTAACATACCAAATATGAATGCTGTGCTTGATCATTAATTTATTTATCTACCAAGTGTTGCATTTTCAGTGTATATTTAGTGTCTTTTTCTGAGGTCAAATTGTGGCTTTTCGTGCAATTGTATACACACATCGGTTAATTCATTCACAACAATGTCTTTCTGTCTATAATGTGAAGAGAGAAGCTGGGAAAGAAAATGAGTAATTTAACATGTGTATGACAATAAAAAAGCGGAAGCCGGTACCTAGGGCCACTTTATGACCATAGGGACCGGCTATTTTATGACCTCTCACTCTTACTAGGGTTTTTGCCACTGATTGAAACCATCTGCTTCTTTGCAGCATTGGGTGGTAAATTAATTGTGACAATAAAGTCATCCAAATCGACTGTGTGAACTATATATTTTGAGTCTACATGGGCTTAACTATGTAGTTAAAACCTATAATACTGTGCATTGTTTGTTGTATTTTAGTCGTTAAGCGATACAATGTCTCTAATGAACGAGTAAACTGCATTCTGCAGAAATGAAAAAAAAAGACAATTATGTTTTGGAGCTCCTGCTGCATGTAATTTCCATGGCGTGTAAAGGCAGAGCAGCTTGAAACAGCTTGCTTTATAGGAACCTACAGCTTTGCTCTTGCTCTCGACTGCCTGTGTAAATATGGAGGAATTAACAAGCACAGCTGGGGTACACACAACAGGGTGCCTCCTACACACTCATTCCAATAAACTTTGTGCATCTCACGTGCATAACACAAATGGGGAAAGTGTGTATGTGTGGGAGGGGGGTGGTGGCAAATGTGAGTAATTCCTTAATCAGCCTTTGAATGCGAGTATAGATTTCATCAAAAATCAATGTTCATCTTCTACTCAACTGTAGCCCCCCCCCCCCCCCCCCCCACCTTTTGAAGAAATCCCCCTTTCCGAGTCTTAGCAACCAGGCCGAGCCAGAGTAACCAAGAAACAAAGCAAGCTGTTAACAGGCCATAGCATTAACAGCCCATTACCTCACAGGGGAAAGATGGCGTTATTTGGACAGTTTTCAGTATGGTGCCTCTATGCATATAGCAGTGAGCCATAAATCTTGCTGCTGCTGCTGTCGGCTGCCTGTGCTGTGTTAGGTTTCCAAAAGTGACTCAGTCTGTAGACGGCGGCAACGCCCTGGGAATACTAGGTACTGAATGTGTTAAGAACCTTCTCATTTGGCCAATATAAATCTATACTACATGGAACCACAACCTTCACCTGGCCTGGAGCAACACTGTCATCATAAAGCAGCAAACACCCACACATGCACAACCAGCCCCTAAACTCTTACTCTCACATACATACTGACATGCACGCACGCGCGCGCGCGCGCGCACACACACACACACACACACACACACACACACACACACACACACACACACACACACACACACCTTCCTCCATTCCCTTCAGCCTTTGAAACACATATGCATGTCAGATACTGACGTATGCATTAACACACACACACACACACACACAAAGGCCGCTATGTCGACTTGCCAATGGGAGGTACCTCATTGTTTAGGCAAGCATCATTGCCACACAGACATCCTGCGATTAAGATGTTATTTGCCTTCTAAGGAGAACACAGTGTGAGTTGGCGTCCAACTTTATCTGCTCATTCAGATTGGAGCAGCGTTGAAAAGGCATCAATCAGTACATATAAATAGGGCATTCATTTTGATGCAGCCAACTCCTTTCAAGCTGGAGCAGTAGACTAATTATTATAGTATACCGTAGCAGGGGCTGTGTTTAAATGTGATTTACATGTTCTGTGTGTAAGATGGCAAGCCACTAATGCACTCCCGTAGTTTATTTGTAATGAAACGTTTAAATGGAAAACTAAAATTAATAGCTAAACCGCAACTCGGGAAGATTCTATCTATATAAGGATTCAATTAGTAAAAGTAAGTTTGTGAATTACTTAAGCACTCTGCATTCATTTTGAACCAACCATTGAACATTCAAGAGGAGGGGAACAAAAAAAATGTGCTTGGTTGCCCAGTTTCAGGCTGACCTATATTAGGAGTGCAGCCATTAGTATGGATTACATTCAGTATTATGTGCTGTGAGCCTCCCTGAGTGACAGGGTGATTTATTCATCAGCCAGACGCTGGTGGTACTCTGTATGCAGAAAGTCAATGAGTCAGTGGTGAGTCACATTGTGTATGTTGCCCTAGAGAGGGCTCCTTTACAAGTACAATAACCCCCTTGTTACACAAGGCTGTATTTAGTCTCCAACCCCATCCCACCCCCACACACAGACACACACACACACACAGTCCATCCTCTATCCCTGTTTGGTACCAGTGCATGGTAATAATCTCCAGTTACACATGCACTAAAAATAGCAGGAATAAATCTCCTAGGTCTTTCAGGATTTCCCTAAAAGTAGATCCTGAAACACGCATGCATATGCACATGCAACATGACTGAAACCAACAGATATCTCTTACCTTGTGTTGATGCAGAGGAGATTTTGTCATCGCTGTACACACCACTTGCCAGGGTCAAGGAGAGTAAGGTGATGTAAAGCAGACTCAGCATTTTTTTTTTCAAATTAAAGGGGCCCCTTAACTAGAAATATAGAGCAAAATAACCTGAAAATGTTTAGAATTTATTTAAATTGGTTTGCTGGTGCTATTTCTCTATTTTGTTTTTAAATTAAACTTTTTTTTCCTTCTCTCTGTCCCACTCTCTGGTGCAGCAGCCGGCTGAAGTGCTACTGGAAACTTGGGGCTCATCAGAGGTCCAGAAAGTGGCTTTTATTGAAGTCTAGCCTGATTTAGACCACTCCCCCTACCCCTGGCCCATCACCCCCTGCTTTCCCCCGCTCTGGAACCGCTCCCTGTTAGAAAAGTAATAGACGACAATGCCACTCTACAGAACTGATGTTCAGACAGCCCCAACAGTTTAATGTTGAGGCAGCGCATTAAATATGGCAGCTGCACCTGCTGATTGGTTGTCAAGGTGACCCCTGTGCGTGCATGCACACACACACACACACACACACACACACACACACACACACACACACACACACACACACACACACACACACACACACACACACACACACACTTAAATAATGTATAGAACTTTTTTGTCTTGTCTTTGTCTTTCCATTCCATTGAATGTAGAGCGCAAAAGCTGTAGATAAGTCATGTCAAGGGTTATTTTAAATATTAAATAATATGCCATTTGTTCAACGCTTTTATCCAAAAAGTCCTACAATACTGTAAGTGCATACATTTATAGCATGGGTGGTCCCAGTGGGAATCGAACCCTAGCAATGTTAATGCCATGCTCTACCAGTTGAGCTAGCCAGGCCAATTTTAGTGCATTTAAATCTGTTTTCTAGTTCCATCCTCTGTTGATTCTCATTGGGTTTGTTGAGGCAGAGGAGCAGCCTTAGTGGAGGTGGGTAGGTGGCACTTTGACTGTGTGGTCTCGCCTAAACGTTTTCTCAGATAAACCGACTGTCCTTGAAAAATGGGATGACAGGGAGAGTGTGGATTCATGCACACTGTTCTGCTGGACCTGAGTTGAGTTGTTGCAGCTGGAGGTGTTCACCCCCCCTTCCCACACCCCTTTTGTCCCCCTTTTTTTTTTCGCTCTCCGTCCCTCTCTCTCTTGCTCCCTCTCCTTGTTTCACACTCCTCTGCCTTTTATGCTGTCAGGATTTCTTTCTTGAGCCCCAGGGATGATAAACGTCTCCATGAAATAAAACAGAGGGCCTTACATTAAAAACAAACAAAAAAAATGTCTTGAATCCAATCCTTCCCACATCCTATCCACCCCACTATTTACATTGCCATAGTCTGGAGGTCTGCACTGGTTCCATATCTCGTCAGCTGTGGGCCCAACACCCAGGTGGATGAAACTAAACATGTACGCTCAGATTTGGTATCCAGATGGTTAACATAAGCTCAAGACATCTGTGATGACCCAACCCGGGAGCAGATGTCATATCCGTTCAGAATATCAGAGGCAACACTGGCACCATAACAGTATTGCCTCTGTCAAATGAATGATGTCTATTTCTCACAAAACAAAACAAGCAAAAAAGTAACACAGTGTTGCACAACTAAAATTGAGAAGTGTGCTGCGAGCCCTGCTTCTTTTAAAGAACCATAGTCTGGTGAATAAGGATAGTGTGCGTTTTGCCTGCTCAGTCCTGTTCAATTATTTGTTGATAGAATAATGGGTTGCAGCAGCAGCCTCGGCCAGACAGGATGCATGGGGGGATGAAAGATTCAACTGCATGCAACATACACAGACCTTAATGTGGCTTTTACAGTTCACCCTTCCAAGCCATATGGTGAAACTAAATATTTGGGTAATCATGGTAGGAGAGAAAGACTGTTCATACATTGGGTTATTCACAAGCAACATGGGCACCAATCTAAACATCTTTTGTATATTTTCTTTTATCTTTGTAAAAAACAAAACATAAGAAATATACATTGCAGCCGTTGCAGTTATATGTAATGGTCATCCATATGCTACAGAACTACACATGGGCATACACAGCATGTCACAGGCAGCCTCTATTATGTTGTGCTCACAACAACATGTATCATAGTTGGAGCAGAGTCCAGAATATGTTTTATGTGGAAAAGAAAAACGGTTTTGCAAAACTGATTGTGAATGGTTGGCACATGCAAGCAGAGATGCTAACACGCATGCACGCACATATGAGAACCCATGCACACGCACACATGCACATTTTGGTACAATCAAGACCAAATATTGGTAATCATAGCAGTATGTGTTTTCACTTTTTCAGTTTTCAATGGTATTTTATTGCTCTTGATTTAACAACTAGATCCCCTACTTTGTTTATACTTCACATTACAACATTATATTTTCTATATTCAACCTTCAGACAATCAAAGTAACCAACTGCATTATTGCATTATCAATATTTTGCCAAAAATATTGTGCATTGGTGAATGCAATCGTTGAATTAATCAAAAATGTAGCTCTTTGGAGCTATTGCTGACAAAAAAACAAGGGAAAAAACTATTTTTTTACAATGTACTGTGTGTACTCTATCACAACTTTTGGACTGTTAAAGTAACCAGAGGTTATATTATGATCGATTAGTGCAATGGGTCTGACAAGCTCAAATAAACATGACAAAAGCATAGGATGCAAAAAGCCATACCACACACCAGTATTAAAAATGCTCCCTCTACACCAGTAAAAGTATGGTGTCTGTGTGTGCATCTGTGTGTGTGTACATGCATGCATGTGTGTGTGTGTGTGTGTGTGTGTGTGCAGAAAACCAAAGAGTTTAGATTGCAGATGTATAATGGAGGACTAGAGGGTTAAGGATTTAAGGTTCCACCCAAAACAGAGAGAGCTTTTATGAGTCTGCTGGTTTAGAGTCAAGTCACACAGTAACATGAGCCGTGTACAGCTGTCTCTCTGTAGGCCAAGCAGGTTCCTGTTCTGGCAGTGTGGGACTGTCCACGATAACCCACAGTTCTTCACTGGACCGGGCCCCAGATCCATCAAGGGGTTCTGTGAATACAGCCTTAACGACAAGCAGCATCCTGATTGGTCCATCGGGATTTCTTTGTGTGAATGTCCTCAAAAGCAAAAAAAAAAAAGGCTAGGCGAAGGCTAAATAAGGATGGTTTATCACTTTTAAACTCCATTAATCCTTAAGCCTTAAGCTGACATGTGTTTTTAATCATCGGTACTGGTGCCAACTGGGATTTGGGATTGTGGGATGTTGCTTGTACCTGAAGACATTGTGGTGTTGAGCTTCTCTTATAACATGACTTGAGTAGTGTAAGAGGCTGTGAGGGGACCTGATTTTCCAAGGTTGGACCAGAAGGCGTATGTGATCAATTAGTAAATACATGAGTGGAACAGCTCTAGCAGCACACACATCTGATATATATATATACACACAGGGATGCTGCATGGTCTCAACCCTCTTCAGGTGGGAGCAGAGATGAGTAACAAAAAAATCGGACACGAATTGTTCTGCCGTCTTATTCCGGCTCGATGGGCTTTTTCTTGGCAGAAGGGGCTGGTGTGTGTGTGTGTGTGTGTGTGTGTGTGTGTGTGTGTGTGTGTGTGTGTGTGTGTGTGTGTGTGTGTGTGTGGGCGCGCGCGCCCACACACACCATCTGCGTGCGGTGTCCACCCATCGTCCAAGGTGGCAGAGGAGGAGGACCATAGTGCCAGTTTTATGCCGGCACACGATTGAAGTTAATGTCGTCTGTCAGATTTATATCTAATCGATCTGCTTGATTGAAGAAATTACACAAAAGCAAACACATAGGCACACTCAGGAACACATGGGCATTTGGGAAATTGTAATGGTCATATATTGTAGTACACGACCTGTTCTCATTTTTTTTATATTAACCTTCCTCTCTCTCGATCTCCCTCATTCTCTCAGCTGAAGAATTGCTGCTGGGTTATGATACCAGCATGTGTGCATGGCTCCACTCTGACCACAGCTGTGGTTTTGGCACTGGACGATGGGACTCTCCCACCATCCCACCGCCATAACTGTTGTATAACAGCCCAGCAAGGGACTTCCAATGGTCAACATATAACATATAACAGCCCATGTCAGTAAATCATCCAATCAGCAGCCCTTGTTTTCTATGGCATGTTGCGCTTCTTGGCAGAGGGAGTGTACCTTTTTATACAGTCTTGATCACAATTTTGGCCAGTATTTAAAAATAATAAAATTATTTATAATTATGGTTTTAAAATACGTGTTACTTTGTTGTCTACAACAGCAAGGTACCAGATTGCTGATTAAACAAATTTCCTGTAATGGAAAAGTCAGGAACTTTTCTCTCAACGTCATTCACTGTAAAGCCTTCACTTCTCTCATGAGATTATGCTACACTGGCGGTCTCTGCTAGACAATTTTCTGGCACACGCATTTTCACAGACATACACGCAGACAACTGTGACTATTGTACCCTCTAATTAAATAAGATGAGGTTAGCAAGCATGAGTATACGGAGCCGTATGTATATACATTGTGTCAGTGACTCATAGTGACTCAAAGGCAGACAGAACACATCATTAGTAGATGTAACTGGGTTCATTTGACCTATGCTTGGAGTGAGCTAATGATGCTTGTTAACATGTGCATCATGTTTGAGTCATATAAGGTCTGATGCAGGAACATACTCGCACATCATTTCCAGGCACTGTTAAATCTCACAGAGGGAAAGTTGAGGAGGTGGGTTGTATTATTTGTAAAAAGGCCAGCAGTACTGTCATGAGATGAAGACAATCATCAGGCACTGTTGATCCCAAAAAAGTACTAAGCATATACTAAGCGTATATTATGTACCCTTAGTTGGTACATACCTTTGATGTGACATACAAAGATGGATATTTGTGTGTATGTTACATTTTTAACAGCACTTTCTTTATTAGCAAGTTATTGGCACGACTCATTGGCAGTGTTCGGTAAGCATTTGTCAAGCTAACTCAGTCGGTAGTCTTTTAGTTCTGTTTTAGATTATGGTTATTGGATACAATTCATATGTCAGGATTTCTGAGTTGACCTTGATTCAAATGAGGATGCCTTAGAAGCTAACAAGGTCAGTTTTATTCAGGCGAAGACAGATACATTACCTAACATAAGCTATGTTTGACATAGCCTACTGGTACTTTGACAAATAAAGTGTCAGTTTATTTGTACAGTCTGGTTGAAATGATGGTCCTTTTTAAAGCAAGATAGTCGTGAAGGAAGGAGCAATATTTACAATATCAACCTAGTTTATGCTAAAAGGTTTGGATTTTGGAAAGTGGGAACAAACCATGGAATATTCCAATGCATGCATCTTTGGCATTTGACTCATTCAGGTTGGATGATATGGTTAGAGTCAGGTTGAAAAAAAAATAACATGGACAATAAAGATGAAGATATTGAAAAAGTGGGTTAGCACCCCAACAGATTGAATGAACGACCCAGGAGTCCAGACGAAGTCGATTTTATCACCACAGGTGCTTTTTATTTTTCTGGTTGATTTAAGCAGCCATAAAGAAGTTATATAATCTACTTCATGGCCTCAACAACAAACGATTGGGTCAAGGGCACTGATGGAATTGGTTAGCGTCTTGGCTTTGAGAACAGAAGGCGGACAACATCAACTTCAATAGGTACTCCAGGTGGCTATGGTCACATCCACAAGTCTTACATCTGCATTTGCTTTTATCACTGAGATTCAAGATGCTGTGAGTTCCCCTGAAACTTTGCAGTTACATCTCTTGTTACAAACTGAGGTGGAGTCCGCTTAAGACATGAAATGAAAAACATGAAAAACAAATGGATTTCA